GGCAGTAATGTGGATCGAGTGATATTGTCTGGCAGTAATGTGGATCGAGTGATGTTGTCTAATGTGGATCGAGTGATATTGTCTGGCAGTAATGTGGATCGAGTGATATTGTCTGGCAGTAATGTGGATCGAGTGATATTGTCTGGCAGTAATGTGGATCGAGTGATATTGTCTGGCAGTAATGTGGATCGAGTGATATTGTCTGGCAGTAATGTGGATCGAGTGATATTGTCTGGCAGTAATGTGGATCGAGTAAGTGGATCTTCTGATATTGTCTAGCAGTAATGTGGATCGAGTGATATTGTCTAGCAGTAATGTGGATCGAGTGATATTGTCTGGCAGTAATGTGGACCGAGTGATATTGTCTGGCAGTAATGTGGATCGAGTGATATTGTCTGGCAGTAATGTGGATCGAGTGATATTGTCTGGCAGTAATGTGGATCGAGTGATGTTGTCTGGCAGTAAGGTGGATCTTCTGATTAATCTGTAAGTAATGTAGGCCGACGGCATTGTCTGCAAGTAATGATCATCATTACGCGTTTCGACAACAGACTGACTTTAGGTTGATAAAATTACCATTTTGTTTGGTCATTCGTCATTTATATAACATTCATCACATATATCACAGACTACTGCCCTGTTATGTAGAGTAAATATTCTCCGCTGGTCCACTAGCCCCAGAATGCCCCTTCCTTCACCTGTAACGATTTCGAGGCACTTTCGGCTGTCTTCCGGAAACACATATAGGTGGACTAAGTGGCCCCGGATGCTGAAGTGTTCAGATCAATTGTACCATTGAAACAGTCGAGACAACTCAATACTTTGTCCAGTGTTATTGGCTCCTAAACAAGTATGCAAATAATTTTCCCGAGTAGCAACACTTACTTTTAACTCTGGACAAGTTTCCTTATTACAGGTAAACACTCACAAGAGCGGCAGCGTGCTTAACGCCATTTTCATCCCAGTTACTCAACGTCGCTAATGGACGGCATCCGGTGTCGTCTGTTGTCTTCAGCCTACAACCGCCATCTTGGATCTGAGACATAGAACACCTGAAAAACGTTCGTTTAAACAGGCAATGTCTGATCGTCCTGGCAAAGCCACCTTCCCCAGAATACGATAAAGGTGATTTACTGACAAATGATTAACTGGAATAAGGACGGACAGAGCAGGGGGCATACACAAATATAATAGTAGATATGTGTGCATGTAGGTAAATACAATATAAACACGCACAATGTCTGGTGAGGGATTGTAAGGGTATGTGTGTACATGAAGGCAAATGCAATGTACAATGTTTGGTTTGAGGAATATTCCACAGGAAGTATATCGCTGAACGTGAGCATCTAAGCAGATACAATGTACAATGATTAGTTTGAGGAATATTCCACAGGAAGTATGACTGAATATGAGCACGTAAGCAGATACAATGTACATTATGTTACCTCTCACATCAACGTTTTATGATTGTCTGAGCCTATCAGTGTACTCCGCTTGCAAGCGATGTACTCGCTGGAAATGCCGAACCGTGGGAATTCGTTTGGTGTCTTGAGTTGGTAGTGTTTGGGTTGTTGCATAACTCCGGTACTCCTTATTATGATCCAATACCCGTGCTTCAAACAGTTCAAAATTGACATTGAGGTGTTCGGTAAGATAAATACGTTGTTCATAGGTCCCATAGGACCATGTACCCTCTAAACAAACATAGAGGGTACATGAACCTATGGGCCCCTAGGGACCTATGAACAACTTATAATGTTTGGTGTGAGGAACATTCAACAGGAACTACGACTGAATGTGAGCATGTTAGCAGATACAATGTACAATGTTTGGTGTGGGGAACATTCAACAGGAACTATGACTGAATGTGAGCATGTTAGCAGATACAATGTACAATGTTTGGTGTGAGGAACATTCAACAGGAACTACGACTGAATGTGAGCATGTTAGCAGATACAATGTACAATCGGTGTGTGAGGAACATTCAACAGGAACTACGACTGAATGTGAGCATGTTAGCAGATACAATGTACAATGTTTGGTGTGAGGAACATTCAACAGGAACTACGACTGAATGTGAGCATGTTAGCAGATACAATGTACAATGTTTGGTGTGAGGAACATTCAACAGGAACTATGACTGAATGTGAGCATGTTAGCAGATACAATGTACAATGTTTGGTGTGAGGAACATTCAACAGGAACTACGACTGAATGTGAGCATGTTAGCAGATACAATGTACAATGTTTGGTGTGAGGAACATTCAACAGGAACTACAGGACTGAATGTGAGCATGTTAGCAGATACAATGTACAATGTTTGGTGTGAGGAACATTCAACAGGAACTACGACTGAATGTGAGCATGTTAGCAGATACAATGTACAATGTTTGGTGTGAACAGGAACATTCAACAGGAACTACGACTGAATGTGAATGAGCATGTTAGCAGATACAATGTACAATGTTTGGTGTGGGGAACATTCAACAGGAACTACGACTGAATGTGAGCATGTTAGCAGATACAATGTACAATGTTTGGTGTGAGGAACATTCAACAGGAACTACGACTGAATGTGAGCATGTTAGCAGATACAATGTACAATGTTTGGTGTGAGGAACATTCAACAGGAACTACGACTGAATGTGAGCATGTTAGCAGATACAATGTACAATGTTTGGTGTGGGGAACATTCAACAGGAACTATGACTGAATGTGAGCATGTTAGCAGATACAATGTACAATGTTTGGTGTGAGGAACATTCAACAGGAACTACGACTGAATGTGAGCATGTTAGCAGATACAATGTACAATGTTTGGTGTGAGGAACATTCAACAGGAACTATGACTGAATGTGAGCATGTTAGCAGATACAATGTACAATGTTTGGTGTGAGGAACATTCAACAGGAACTACGACTGAATGTGAGCATGTTAGCAGATACAATGTACAATGTTTGGTGTGAGGAACATTCAACAGGAACTACGACTGAATGTGAGCATGTTAGCAGATACAATGTACAATGTTTGGTGTGAGGAACATTCAACAGGAACTATGACTGAATGTGAGCATGTTAGCAGATACAATGTACAATGTTTGGTGTGAGGAACATTCAACAGGAACTACGACTGAGTGTGAGCATGTTAGCAGATACAATGTACAATGTTTGGTGTGAGGAACATTCAACAGGAACTATGACTGAGTGTGAGCATGTGTATGCGTCAATGTAAGTGTACAATGTTTGGTGCAATTGAGCTTGGCTAATAAAATAACATCTGTGATATTCAAGTCCCCGCCATTTCATCCACATTAGTCTTTTGATCAACCAAATACAGAAGACGGTTTGTATAAATCATATGTGGTCCTCGTGAGAGATATTTGTTTTAATGTCTGAAGGATATATATATCGTAAATCAATTAACATTTCAGTCGGCAGCCGTGTTTTATAGAAAAGCGTAGGTGCATATTAACGCACCATAGGCATACAATAACCAGTCATCCTGTAGAAAACGACACATAATGATTAGATCAATTACCCCAACAAATATGTCATTTTTCACGATTTCAGAGATAGCTGTTCACGTGATAGACTTCTGAAATGCCATTTGTGCTTCATGAAGACATGCAGAGCGTGTGGCATAGGAGGGAAGATTGATTGTAAAGTGCTTCGTGGCCTTTCTAATGAGTCTATTCACACATCGTCCTCACAGGCTTTCATCTCCCCCAGACAAAGTCACGTGGTCGCGCCCTGTCCCCGTAACTACTTCCGGTCCGGTCACGTGACAGTTTTGAACCGGCAAAGGGTCTAGACATTGGGATTTTGACGGAAGTTGTGTTAAGTGGTGGACTTTACTCTTAGATTTTAATAGTAACTTAGTACGAATTGGTCGTAGATATAAATGGCCTTACTCTGATTGGAATGAAAACCTTTATTAGTATGAACAAACAGATATACATATAGGTTCTGACAAGTTGAGCCATGTTACTGTGAGTGAGTGAGTTTAGTTTTACGCCGCACAGCAATATTCCAGCTATATGCCGGTGGTCTGTAAATAATCGAGTCAATCCAGTGATCAACAGCATGAGCATCGATCATGAGGGATACGATGACATGTGTCAACCAAGTCAGCGACCCTGGCCACCCAATCCCGTTAGTCGCCTCTTACGACAAGCATGGGTTACTGGAGACGAATTCTAACCCAGATCTTCACGGGTAGACCGTGGTTACTGTGAAGGACCTCTCTGATTTCAGTACAAACGCGCTTGTTTACAAACATGCTGATGCTAAAACTAGCATGCTTATTATACAGCTTGTGTCGTAAGGCTAAATGGTCCCTGCCTTATTCCAGAAGCGATACCAAATCGAACATTCAATAGTGAATTTATTTTTCATTCTTTCATCAACATCCACAGTCGTCTAAGATCCGTTTTGCATAGTTTCGCCCTTTAGCTTACCAGAAACCTGTTGTCGTGGGCTCCGGTCTTGGATTACTCTGATTATGCGTCTTGATTTAACAAACGTTGTTTCCGATATCAACATTTCACTCACTCCATTCCCTCTCTCTCACTCACTCACTCACTCATTCACTCACTCATTCACACACTCACTCACTCACTCACTCACTCACACACTCACTCACTCACTCACCCACCCAGCGTCCAGGTCTAAGTACGGTTGCCTCTGTGACGGTATGTGTAGATCACCTACGGGGATGGGAAGATGGCGTGAGGATATCCTGACCTCAAACTGCATCTCCTGCCATTAAGCACGGGGGACCAACTCAAACAATATTAACTCACAAGGATAAATCAACATCCATCGTTTGACCAAACTATTAAGAGGCGGAAATGGAGGCGAAATTTCAACTGCTTTAAATCAATAAAAAAACAACCGAGCCTGACCTTACACGAAAAAGCTGCCTAGCCTAAGTCTATGTACATCGTCACGAGATGGGGCGCTGCAGGTTGACAGAACGGCAGCACCCACTGTTGACAAGTAAACCTGGTCTGTGATGGGGGCGGTCACTCAGCCAATCGCAGGCTGACGGTGTCAGTTTATAACGCATGGTACCACCTCAGTGGATGCATACACATCGCGGGTCCTGAAGAGCGCGACCAGAAAGGTAGGAACAGTTGATTCATTGATTCTCAGGCGGCGCCTGATTTTGTGTTTGTCACCACAGTCATGTCTTGAATTACGTCTTAGACAAATGACACCATTTTGAGTGACAGCGTAAGTTTTAGGTTATCACCATGTAATTTAGTTGACAATTGCTGTGTCGTCATTGGTATTGACTGTGATATAAGTAATTTGATAGGCATCGAGAACAAAACCACCTATGAAGACCATTCACACGTTGTCATTTCTAAACTGTCTCGTGTATTACTAGAACACTCCTGTCGCACAGGGGAGTTGGAACATGTTATGGGAGTATTTGGCAGTATGAGTGCACACCGATACTGTTGGAACAGGGATTGGGATTGAGATAAGTGGAAGTCCATGTGTATATTCAAGTCATTAGTACTCCATGTGTCGTATTTAAAACACAAACGCGAGTCTATGTAGGAGGCTTCATCAAAACACCATTGTTGACCTCAATAACATTAGCAACACATATCTTGAAAGTTACTTTTTAGTATGTACATCGAACTTCAGGTGAAATTCTCAATGGTGTCATACAGATTACATTTGCACCAAAGGCCGGCAATGTTAATTATACATACATGTATGTTTCCGACGTTAATTCTCACTCATGTTGATATTTATTGTGTATTTCTCGTCACTATATGGCCGAGGTGACGTTAAATTTTAACTCACTCACTCACTCATGTTGAATATACCCACCTAAAAAAAAGCACTGAATCTAAATCCACTTGACTGAAATAGTTTACTTGACCAACCGTGAGTGGGCTGATTATCATCTTTTCCAATACGACAGTGGATGTACGCTCAAACTACATGTATAAAATAAGCTGTACGTTGGTACTTATATTGTACAAACGCAAAACACATGCTCTTTATAAATTCTGGTATTTATATAAAAAGTACTGTCCACGTTTCGGTTAAAGTGCATTCATTTGTGAATTTTTTTGTTTCGAGAAAACAAAGGAATCATATTTTATGTTGTGGGTAAACAGGTTATCTCTAAATCTCCAGCCATATCTCAGGACATAATGGTCTAATGCTGCACCTTATATGGCTATAAATATGGTTCGCCTTTTAAAAATCTCTCTACTCTCAAAAACGGAGTAGGCTAATTAATATCCGTTTAAAAATCTCTCTGAGTAGGCTAATTAAGCCGTTCCATTATAGCTGTGGGGTGAGGGTAATTAATCCCTCTAGTCAAGTGTCTGTCGAATGACTGTCTGTAGAATGGCTGTCTGAAGAATGGCGTTCTGAAGAGTGGGAGGACACTGGTAAACATATTATAATCGTTTATCTTCCTGTTTACATCCTGATCCGGTGATGAAAATATGAATTCAGTTTCAAAGTGAGATCCTAGACCTTGAGAATATTACTTGGCTTGTGATACAGATGCTGCACGTGTCGCATGGTATGATGAACCTTCATTCCTTCAATCAACACACCACCACCTGCAGGTGCACCAAGATTTTATTGCCCGTGCAGACGCGCACGTTGCCCAATATGCTGACTACACGACATATGCTGATTTTATTCGTAGTAGACTGGATTTTAGATTTTGCCTGCAGTATTTACAAGTTTGTCAAAGACAAATGTTACATGCTAGCTTACCTTAGATAAACTGAAAACAGATGTTTGATGATTTGGAAATGGGACAGCTAATGGTGGCTTTTGTACCTGAATATCGGAGAGCCGTTCTACCCAGGAGCATGTAGATTGTGTACACGATGAATCGTCGCCATAAATACTATAGATAGGCTATAGAAGGATTACACTCAGTGATATGCCATACAGTCATAACTAGCCATTGTGTAATAAACCGTCACTTGTGGGTAAGAGTGAATGTCTTGAGAATAAACCTTGAGGTGTGTACACTAACATGGTTTTGCAGTACAGATAAATATATATTTAAAACAGTCGGTGAAATAGCTACTGTGAGGGGACTTGAATATTAGTGACTGCCATAGTCCTTGTAGGGGTTTATTCCAAAACAAGGATATAGCTGAGTGCGGCGTAAAACTAAACTCACTCACTGTTCCAACTCCAAACCCTGAAAAAGGCTTATGACTTAACTGTTGATGGTGCTATCGTTAGACATTAGTATAACCCTGCAGCTGACTCACTCACAACTTCACTCTCTTAAATTATGTGACATAATACCATTCACATTTCGGTAACCTTGTACCATTAACAACCCTTCAGTACTGAAGAATATCCTTGACAGTAAAATGTATAAATATAATTTTAACCTTGGACGATCAAACTGTCTTGCGTAGTATATGTCATTTAACTCACCCTATCTTGACAATATTCAATAAGACTATTAAGTTATTCTGCTAATGTAGTTAATTTAAAGTCAAATCATTCTACCCTTGCCACTTCAGGCGCCACTTTCCATCGATGATGTAGAATTTGGGTTGATATTTGTTCCATAGACTGGGATGAAGCTGGCGTAGTATGGATAGCGTGGCGTTGTCTGGAAGTAAGGTGGGGAAGTGGCATTATCGGATGAGAGAAAGGGAGAAAGAAAGAAAGAGTGAGCAAAAGGGAGAGAGTGAACGAAAGAGAGAGAGAGAGAGAGAGAGAGAGAGAGAGAGAGAGAGAGAGAGAGACAGACAGACAGACAGACAGACAGACAGAGAGAGAGAGAGAGAGAAGAGAGAGAGAGGGGTTTGGGGGGAGAGTTTCTAATGTGGACCGAGTAATATTGTCTGGCAGTAATGTGGAGAGAGAGAGAGAGAGAGAGAGAGAGAGAGAGAGAGAGAGAGAGAGAGAGAGAGAGAGAGAGAGAGAGAGAGAGAGAGAGAGAGAGAGAGAGAGAGAGAGCAGTAGTAGTAGTACTGTCATAGTTTAAAGGTATTGTCTGTAAGTCTGTTACACGTCAGGTTCTCTCTCCTCTACCAGGGCCGACCTCCGTATCAGTAGTAGGATGTTATTTACAATCTGTCCAGACTAGTGTGACACTTGGAATAATCGCCATGTCTCTGGCCAGGGGATAATTAGAACATAATAACAACCCGTGAGTCTTGGTACTCTTTGACAAAAGCATTACGTTCAATGTGGCTGTACTTCCTAAATGCCAACGCTTTTGTTACCCGATAACATTAAAGATGGTTTGTGTGGAGTGTTCTACAATCTCTGGTGGGCTGCCGTTATACAGCTTGACATTTGGAAGAACCGCTCAGCTGGTATTAGGGTGCGACCTTGGAGCCACTCAACAAGTTGGATTTATGTTGCACGATGGAATACACATCTACAGTAGATTGGAGGCGTCCCGAGTCACACAACCTGTAATTAAATAAGGAATAGGAGATTTATGGGAATAGATGCCTTCTCTGTGGATCGAATTCAGGGAAACAACATGGTATTGATTAAAATACATACTTCAGCATACTCTTGTGGAGAATGCCCATTCGAGACCCATACCTATCTACTCACTCCTCTAGCTGTTCAAACACGTACTCGCGTAACATCAAAACCAAACTCGGTGAACAATATTTATCACATGTCGGCTTTCGTGGAACCAGCCAGACTTGCGCGTTCATTTTTCTCATGTTGTTTATGAGGGTGATACAAACAAAGCCGGTTTCGCCTTGCTATGTATCACAGGTACACTGGGTCGAAACGTGGGAAAGTTATCCTGACTCGGTATTTAAGCCTGACGCACAGATCACCAACACCTTCACTGGCTCCCTATATCGTTCAGAATTAACTTCAAGCTTCCCCTCTGGACACACAGCTATATTTATGATAATGACGTTCCCAAATATCTGAAGAATCTTGCAACTCCCAGCAGATTTCTCCGTTCCAGCAACTCCCTTCTTCTCTCCCAGCCAACCACCAACACCACTATGGGTGACAGGGCCTTCTCAGCTGCAGCCCCACTACTAAAGAACACCCTCCCTATCACTATCGGAGAAAAAAACTGTAAAGCCTCTTTAAAAAATCTGTTCACAATATCCCTCTCATAGCCTTACAGACTTTCCTCTTCAGCGTGGTTGAGCAAATACTTTTCGTTATATAAATTCATTATCATTATCATTATCATCAGATAACGATTCCACTGTACAATAAATGAGATTCCGCTGTACAATAAAGAAGATTCCACTGTACAATAAAGAAGATTCCTGTACAATAAATAAAGAAGTACAATAAAGAAGATTCCACTGTACAATAAAGAAGATTCCGCTGTACAATAAAGAAGATTCCGCTGTACAATAAAGAAGATTCCACTGTACAATAAAGAAGATTCCACTGTAGTGCTGATATATACATAAACCTCCATGCACTTTCTTTCCTATTTCTGAAAGTACAATCTAAATATGCTGTATAACAGTCAATCCCGCTGTGCCATATTGCTTAATGAAACTAGTGCTTGTTCAAACCCTTGCATGGCGTTTAGAATAAGCAACAGATAAAATATTGTGGGGATCATCGACTTGTTTATCGCATTAGGAAATACGTCTTAATATGGAGTCTATTTGTTTCTTATATTTTTGGATCATTTATGTTGTATGTTCAATGAATGCTATTTGTACAGTAGAAGCTGTGAGCACCTTGCCCCACGTGATTCACATGGAAGTACATAGGGTCTAAGGTTAGTCCGTGAGGAGGAATAACTACCTTCATCCATCGGTGGTGGGGTAGCCTAGTGGTTAAAGCGTTCGCTCGTCACGCCAAAGACCCGGGTTAGATTCCCCACATGGGTGGCCCATTTGTGGTGTCCCCCGCCGTAATACTGCTGGAATGTTGCTTAAAGCGGCGTAAAACTAGACTCACTCACTCATCCATCAAACTGTGTTGAGGTCAGCGGTTGTCATTAACCGAAGTTCACGGAACGTAGCTGTAATCTGCAATAGTAAACCTACACATTGCATAACTTCACATGTTCTAAACTCACTTTAATGAATGAAAAAATTACTTAAACATCTTGTAAGGATAACATCCTATGGTAAAGAATGTAGTTCTTGTGTGTTTCGAAATCAAAACCATCCGACACTAGAGAAATAATGAATGTCGATTAATAATATCTACGTTTCGAAAACGTACATGTCTAGTGCTGTGTGTCAGATAAACCAGTGGTTGATACAGTGAACACCGATAGACATCGTCACCAGTTTCTGTCCTCTATCCGTGCTACTGACCCGTCCTGTAGTGTCGATACCACTCGGAGTATTACACCACAGAATCTGTTCTACTTACAAGATATGCTGGAGGGTACTCCAACATCACACAATCAATCTCTCCCCCTCCCGTCCCCATCTTCCTCCCCACTCCTCCTCTCCCTCCCAACCCCCACCAATCAAGAAGGCTACCAGGGCAAGTCAGCACCCGTGGCAGGAGACGAAGGAAGATGGTAATGTCGAGCAAGGCTGACCAAGGTAATTAAAGAGTGGCCCTGGGGTAGATAACTCTGTTTAATATGAGCACAATTGCACACAACACAGGCAGCCTAATTGTACAGATTTGTCAGCTGTATTATGAAACCAGCCGATAATCCCGGGGGTCATTTGTTTCATGAAAAGATGAAGTTTGGTAATTGCGAGCGTCACATGGGGTGGATGCAATAACAGCTGTGAATAGATCCAACACACGACGCTAAGTCAGGAGTATTGAACAAGGAGGGGGGTCGCCGGGCACACCTTCATTGATTTGTACTGCTAATGTAGCATCTTGAATGTCAGCAACATCATCGACTGCTGAATGTATCGTACATTCAGGGATGGTCTGAATCAACCAATCAACTACAGACCAAAAATATACATTTTTGCCATTCTTTGAGACAGTCGGTATATCGGGTAAACGGTTTTCCTTGCATTAAGTCACTGAAATCAATCTGCCAATCGTTAATGTGATGTCAACAGTGTCTTATGGCATCAAATCAACACGCGAGTTTATGAGTTTTGCCGTCCTTTAGGACGGCGGTTGATATATCTGATACCTTAAATATGTCTAGATTTTGGTTATTATCTATTCAAATATAAAGCATTTATCTGCATTTACCCTTTGAGTTTAGTTTGAATCTCAAGTTAACATTTAAGGATCTCTTAAAATCAATAGCCCGCATCACGATGCTTGAAAATATCGGCATACATATTTTTAGTTCAGCTGAAACTTTGAGGTCCTGATCATAGTATTTGTTATGACATCTCCACAACAATAATGTATTAGACGTGTCATGTACTCCAAGACGAATCGAGTCTATCTAAAGTTGGCTCACAGAAATATTGAAATTTATCTCACAGAACTTTGCTCAATCATCCACCCATTGACCAATATGCACACACTCATGCACACGCACACGCACACGCACACGCACACGCACACGCACACGCACACACGGAGACTATATGCAGCCAGAGTGAATTTAGGGAATCAATGTGATTTACCGCAAATGTCTGCATTTCACAATCGTATTATTTTGACTTGCCTCTCGTGAAAATTCTGAATGACACAATAGGACATGATACTACCGCACTCACATCCCTAACACCCCTACCCCACCCCACCCACCCCCACCCACACACACAGACAGAGAGACACACACACTCACACACACAACCACACCCACCCCACTCATCCCACCCACACACACATCCTGCCCCCAACACACTCGCGACCCCACACACACACACACACACACACACACACACACACACACACACACACACACCATCATACAACCACAGACACCCACACACACACCCTCATACAACCACACACACACACACACACACACACACCTCATTCCATCCACACAACCACAGACTCCCCACAACACACCCTCATACAAACCACAGACACAAACACACACCCTCATACACCCACACACCCTCAAACCACAGACCCCCCACACACACACACCCTTTCACATCCCTACACACCCTCACACACCCACGCATTGTCCACGTTCCTAGTGACCTGTAGAAGATACACAGGCGATTCTTTATTGACGTCCAAATGTTCAAATATCGGTATGTTGTAGTAGTACAAGTTAAAGAAGATTCCATTTTAAGAAGAATGTAACAGCGAGTAACGTGAATTATAAGATAATAAATGTAGAAACGCTTTATTGTTATCAATGAACGATGATCAAGGTCGTTCAACACTCCCGGAAATGGGCCTCTTTGTAGAAACACGACTTCCGCCATAGCCACTAAGCTGAAAATATGTATATATAATGGACGACGGGTTGTTGCTTCATTTCTCTTGAATTCCATTTACAAAAGCGATAAATTAGCAGAATGGCGGAGGTCATTTGTTGTGGCAGACGACTTCCGGTTCCACAAAGGAACACGATTTTTCCATCTTCGGCGAGCGGTGGGTGATCGACGTTTGTCTAGAAACAAGCAGACCCGAGCGACTAAAATAAGCACAAACACACAATTAAATGGCGCTATACAAAAGACGGTGAAGTCATCAGTGGTTTCATAGGGGTAAAGAAAGCAGCAGAGCTTTTACCAGGATCGCTTCTATTTGAAAAGTCGCTGGTCCGTAGGCGTATTGGACCATTGTCTGTTCTCTGTGGCTAAAAGTAACCTCAACTGATCAAATGTGGACACTTGTGCAAACTTCTCGTTAATAATAATAAAAGAGGTTTTGATACTTGATTTCTTTAGTTGACTGCGTTCGTTTAAAAGGTCGGCTTATTATTGCCCGGTAAAGTATTTTCTCAACTGGGGAGGAAAAGAAACTTGACATTTCGGCCACATCGACCTCGGTTGCTGCCACCACCTCCTTGTTAGGTCGTGGAAACACAGGTCGATGACAGAAACATTAACATACAGAAGTGAACCTCCCAACACCCGCAGAACATACATATAAGCCCAGATTATAAAATACGAATGTTTAGAACTAGGTATTTACTAAACGACCAGTTCACGAGCTTGATCTGTTTTTTGTTTACCTGGATGTATTAAAACACGGACGCAGACAACATCCAATGTTATACTGGTAAGAACTTTCATGTTCGAGACATCAGACATGTATGTTTTCACAGCTGTGTTCTGTTTGACCAGCCGTTAATGTTTTGTGTCAGATTCATGTTTGGATTCAGAAATGAAATCAGCTAGTATGCAAACCTATGCGGATTTTGTACGAGAGTAATCACCAATAGCCAAGTGAACCGCATACGGCCTTCACATGCGCCGAGAAACTCAGCCATAATTTTACTTCTGACCAAACGACCTATGTAGCGTTATGACAACACAGTGAGTGAGTATGGTTTTACGCCGCTTTTAGCAATATTCCAGCAATATCATGGTGGGGGACACCAGAAATGGGCTCCACACATTGTACCCATGTGGGGAATCGAACCCGGCTCTTCGGCTTGACGTGCGACCGCTTTAGCCAGTAGGCTATCCCACCGCACCTTGACAACAGAGACGTGACCTGCTTTTAACATAGCAATGACTGACTGTACCCAACAAACTGAGTATATTGAACGACATTGTCTCTTCCGCCGTTATATCATGGCGACACGTGAGTAATGAAACTACTGCTTGTTCAAATCTTTGAGTGGCATGTACCCTATGCAACTAGTGAAATGTCGAGTGGATTATCAACTTGTATATCAAAACTGCAACGATGTTTTAGGTCGTGTCTAAGGTCGTCCCGTGTGGAGTATACCGAATCGTCGCTACAAGTGTGACAATTACTTGATCCATCATTGTCAGTGGTTGTTGGAATCCATCTTCCCCATCACATAGTTCCCAACTGGGAATCCCTACATGTGTCCCCTATATAAGATACGATAAGCTTGGTTCTACTACGGACCTCACAGACCTATCTGGGCCCTGCTGGGTGCGGTTGGCGACTTGTAGTCACACTGATCATAATTCTCTGTCGGTGCAGTTTGAATTTGTTCTTAGTATGTTTCCGGTGATCCCCGTCGTGATATTGTTGGCATATTGCTAAAAGCGGCGTAAAACCCAACTCGCTTACTTTTAGTATGTCCTCTGTTTTCAGATGAGGTGGCTTACCGCATTTCTACTGGTCCTTCTGTCCATAATGGCCGTACATGCCACCGAGAGCACCAAGTCCTCCAGTAGCAAGGCAGCGAAAGCCACGCAGGCCCCAGAGATGGATGACGATGAGGAAGACGATGAGGAGATGGGCGGGTTTGGATGGTGTAGAGATGACCAGAGGGTGGCTGCCATCTGCATAGCATGTGCTCAGCTTCCGGAGGCGCTTTCACTACCACCGAGCGAATGTTGCAGCGACGCCGATGCCCTAGAAATCTGTAAGAACTGTGTTGACGACCCCGTCCGATGTCTTCGAGATGTGTTAGATATCGCCACAGATGGCGAGAGTCCACAGATAGAGGACGAGGACATGCAGGCGTACGACAAGCGATACGGAAAGTTGTTCTCGAGCCAGAAACCAATGTATGTTCCTGATTATGAAGCCGAGAAGAGATTTGGCACTCTACATCTTGAAACTATGGGAAAGAGGTTCGATGATGAAGTGGAGAAGCGATGGGGGACCCTGAACCTAGGCAGTTACTTTAACAAACGTTACGGTATGCTGGGTTTGGGCAGCCGGAACCCAAAAATGGGAAGGAGGTTTGGGACACTCAATTTTGGAGGACTTTACAGCAATGTTGGAAAGAGATACGGGAGTCTCAACATTGGCAAGAAGAGCGATCTTTTATCTGAGACGGAGCTGGAAAAGAGGTACGGTTCATTAAACTTGGGCAAGAGATACGGGACTCTGAACATGGGTAACGGGTATCGTGGACCTCTGACCCTGGGCAAGCGATATGGAACACTGGGCATGGGTAACACCTTTGGCTACTTCCCCTATAAGAGAAGTGAGTACGTCCCATACAATGGAGCTATTGGGACAGACATGAAGAAAAGGTACGGTCGACTATTTATGGGGAGGTTTGGTGGAAAGCGGTTAGGTTCTGCTAACGAAATCAGAATCAGTCAAATAAAGAAATGAAATTCGGGTAGACAAGACTGAACTTAAGAGACTTGTACGAGAGTCATCAAAACTCATTACAGTGTTCATTAAATGTACCACGTGATACTGACAGTGCTTTATCTGGACACTGCCTCACTACTACAGTGGAGAGTCTTCGGGACTTGTCATCAATGTTTCAGATGTCAACATAACAGTGACTTGTTATACAAAGAGAATGCAATCACAGACGTGTACGCTCGATACATGTAACATTGGATATTAGTGACGTGAACTATTAAGAGAGTAACTCGCAGGGGTAACACTGCGATTCCATACAGACACGAACTTGTTCCATTCACAGATTTTACATTAGATAGAATTGATCTCTTCTGTGATCCTGGAAGTCTTTTTGTTTTGTTGTTATTTATTTTGTGTATTTGTATGTCAATAAAAGCATTTGACGATCTCCCGTGGTATTTGAAGCCAGCTGTGACTCGTTATTAGTAACCCTGGTGCCAGACCTGTAATTGTTACATAGAGTCATATCGCTGATGACGTCGTTCCCAGTGCATTGAGTGTGTGGACGACATCCAGAAACCAGTGACGCAGGGAGTCGGGGACAATAACTCACACATGCGGAAATCACAAGGCGTTGTCTCATTTTGAGTGCAGAAATGATGGCACATATCCACGAAACAATGGTTTCCGTGCACACTTTGATTCAAGCAACTAATGAGCATTAAGGAAATTTGAAAACAGTCTTTTTCCGCTGTTTCAGTGCGTTATGGTAACGTGACACTTAAACAGTCTGTCAGACGTTTTTGTTCCCGGTTTTCTTCGTTTCATGGAAGTAATCAGTGATGAAATTATCACTCAGTAGGAAATTACACACACCTTGATATCGTCCGACAACAAGTAATCTCGGACAGATTTATAATGTCAGGATATCAGGAATTATTACCCGTCCGTCTGTCTCAGTGCTGGGTTTCAACGATACCGATTACATTGGTTGCTTGTTGTATCAAAGCATATACTATATCAACATTGGTCGCTTGTTGAATCAACATATAGACTATACCAACATTGGTCGCTTGTTGAATTAACATATAGACTATACCAACATTGGTCGCTTGTTGAATTAACATATAGACTATACCAACATTGGTCGCTTGTTGAATTAACATATAGACTATACCAACATTGGTCGCTTGTTGAATTAACATATAGGCTATACCAACATTGGTCGCTTGTTGAATTAACATATAGACTATACCAACATTGGTCGCTTGTTGAATTAACATATAGGCTGTACCAACATTGGTCGCTTGTTGAATTAACATATAGACTATACCAACATTGGTCGCTTGTTGAATTAACATATAGGCTGTACCAACAGTGGTCGCTTGTTGAATTAACATACAGACTATACCAACATTGGCCGCTTGTTGAATTCACACATAGACTGTGCCAACATTGGTCGCTTGTTGAATTAACATATAGACTATACCAACATTGGTCGCTTGTTGAATTAACATATAGACTGTACCAACATTGGTCGCTTGTTGAATTAACATATAGACTATACCAACATTGGTCGCTTGTTGAATTCACACATAGACTATGCCAAATGTTACCACCTCAGACTCAATGCTACAGTTCAAACGACTCAAAAGGTAATTTCAAATCACTAAGGCGTTGAACAACCATAATCTGAACTAGACGATGATGTCAAACCTTAGACTTCAGGTTTTGATTGGAAATGTTTTTCGCATAAGATTGTTTGTTTCTGTCTCAAATAGACAAGAACAATATGTGGGCGAACAAAACTATTCTGGATCTCTGAATACACTAAGGAGTAAGCGAGCGACAAGCGGGCTGTAGACCAGCACGGGTCTATATTCTAGTGACTGCAGACATAGGAAGTTAATCTGCAACCCCCCAGACCGTAATCACCGTCAGCTTGTTTTTTCAGCCCCGTTGCGTTTGTTTTCATAGCAAAGTCATTTTCTCGCCAAAGCGCAAAGGGTGTGATACTGTTTAGAATAAACACGGTGATTTTTTAAAAGTGCCTTTATGTTCAAACTGAAATCGCATTAAAAGATACATAACCTCTGTTGATTGAACACGAAACAGTAGTTAAGAAAAAAAACGTATTTATGAAAGGTTTAATTATTTGGGTGTGGCATGTAAACGTGAGCATGGATATCACGGGCTGTAACATGCACTTTTCCAACTGCTACAGTTACTGCAAGAGAAAGTCGACGCATATCAGATGTACGCTCATTGTGAAATGTTCAGTCCATATTAACGTTCATATATTTTAAGTTTTATCACAACACGTTCCAGATCCCGCCAAACACCATCTACGCTGTTACGGATCTCAGAATGAGTAATATGCTATCAAATACCATGCTTTCGAGAAACATTTCCCGACGTTGATATTAACTGTGGAAATATAATATTTTATACCAAACATGCATATATTGTAAAGTCGCAAAGTCGAAGCTGCAACTGACAGCACCGGAACAGGCAGACCGAAATTTGGTTCCGCACTGTTACCGGGATCTTGTACTGACGCATGATAATTTACTGACTAATTTATAAATCCCGCTCCCGTATTTGAAAATTCAACCGAAACATAACTTTCTATAATAAATTGCCAGTTTGTCAACAGACACGGGTCTGCTTCCCTGTGTGTCGTAATAGGCGGCTAACAGGACCAGGTGGTCAGGCTCGCTGACTTCGTTGAGGTCATTGTAACCCAATTGCGTAGATCAATGCTCATGATGTAAATCACTGGATTGTCTGGTCCAGACTCGAGTACTTACACACCGCCAGTTATCTGGAATACTCACTGCTCGCCCGTAGTAACCCTCTGTCTAAAGGCTTGTAGCATAACAATGTATACTGCTTGGATATTAAAGTGACAAAGGGAGTGAGTATTGTTTTACGCCGCTTTTAGCAATATTCCAGCAATGTCACGGCGGGGGACACCAGAAATGGAGCTTCACACATTGTACCCATGTGGGGAATCGAACCCGGGTCTTCGGCGTGACGAGCGACCGCTTTTACCACATATAAAGATACAATGTGTGAATTTCCGGTGGTCACAACACGATATTGCTGGAATATTGCTAAAAGCGGCGCAAAACCACGCTCAATCATTCAATGTGACATAACAAATGAGCGAGTGAATGAATCTTGTTTAACGCCGCAGTGTTCAGCAATATCCCGGTTTCATACACACCGTGTATAACCGAACCCGATAGACAGTCTACGCCATCGGGCACGATGATGACAATGAGTCAGCCGCAGATCCTAACCACCCAATCCACAGGTCTGTAGGCTCTTCTGACATACATGTATGAGGTACTAGCGACCAGTTCTGACCCGGAGGCCATATAGATGTATAACAATTATCATGTGTGGTATTGCACGACTTTCTACAAATTGGGAGTTTATCAGAAATTATCCTCCTTTGGGTTAAAGGAACTATCGTATGCACGGCTGTGGAACAGTTACTGCAAGAAAAGTAGAACGAGTGTTTATGTTAAAGGGTCACACGTGGAAACGGCTTTGATTAACCATTCGATTGAGAATGACAATATGGCAGAAACTTCTATTTGTACCCCAGCCCTGGGCCACTGACGACTCTATAAAGTATTAAATAGTACCTTGCCGCGACACGAGTGAAGGTCTGTATGAAGCGAGGTGGTCTGCCATACAAGTAATTACATCGCAAATAGAATGGTCAGTATGCCCCAAGAAATACTTCAAGTATGTTTCTGACATTATGATTCGTGTTAATTCAAGGCGATAAATACGACAAGCGAGTCCAGCCAGAGACAGAAACCACGATCAATGTGCTGCTATGCCGTACTGCAACCCTCTCCCGGGGTCACCCACACATCAAGTGATTTGCCAAGATACCCAACATTGGCCAACAACCAGCTCACGTCACCCAGAAGGGTTAGACTCTTGTCCAGGGTCACCTCCAGTCTGTATTCACGACAGTAAAGTACGTTTTTAACGATGAATATATGGAACCGTTTTTTGATCCTGGCCACGAGATGTGGGTAACAAACTACCTTTTGAGTTTCTTATAGACATACTTTACAGTATTTCCTAAAAGATTTATACGAGTAAACTGATCACAGGGGATTAAACACACAGTAAATCAGTAAAACTCAAGGAATACATTGAAGACTCGCGGTATGCAGAAATTCTGCCTAATTGGCCAAAGGGCACCTCTTTGAATAAGAAGCTCTGCTGTATTCAGTGCAAGCAGTATTGATCACAGCATGAGACTCCTTTAGCTGGGATAGTTGAAATAAGCGCACATAAAAGTGACAGGTTTATGTGTTGACAGTTGCAGCTGTAGTTTTACGTATACATTAAAAAACAATTACAAACATTTATGATAATATTTTTATCTTTACTGTTACGTCTGTGTATTAAGTTTTGTTTGCTGGCAGTATTATACACAAATGGAGAAATAAACCTATTTCTGGCATGATTATATAATTTACAGTCAATGAGGACATGACTTTCATCTTCAATACAGTTAATATTATCTAGTTTACAGTAAAAACAGACTCTGTCAGCCATTGGTATGTTATTATATCTTCCTACCTCTATACCTAACCCAAAATTGCTACACCTGAACTTTGCGAGAAGAGATTTTAGATAGGGAGAGATAGATAATGATAGGTAACTTTCTACATGCAGTAATGAGTTAAAGTGTTTCTAAGCAAATGAATCTGAAAGGTTACGAATAGTGGCCGACCATGATTGTTTAAGATTATCAGAAAGCCTAAGTTTACACTGCTGCATAAACACCTTGCTATCACCGACATCCTGTGAGATGTGGGCCATGTCGTCCTGCCTGAATATTGAAGAGATTTCAACATGTGGTATACCTGAGTATGTGTGAGTATGAGTCTATGTGATTCTAATTGAATTAACATACACCAATATTTAACCGCTCTGGACATATAATTAAATTGTAAAGGAAGCCTGCCACCTTCCCCCCAGAACTATACTACTACTCACATTTCTACCAACTCTGAGGTATTGTCTGCAAATCCTAGTCTAAAGGCCTTCAATAATTTTACAATATGATGTTGCCCATACCTCAGACCCATAACAAAGAATGAAAGGATCAAACAACTTAAAGAGATCCTGAGCTGACAGATTACCAACATGTCTTTGAAAAGAATAGATAGATATATATAAGTGCTCTATTACCTTGAGAGAACAGACAGTGTTGAACCTTAGTCCATGATAGCCTAGGAGTAAAACTATGCCAAGATAATGCCTATAAAATGACACAACCTCAACTTGTTTACCTTCGAAGAACCAATTTTCATAATGAGTTAAATATCCTGAGTTTCGAAACACAATAATCTTTGTTTGTCCAAGTTAATCTCCATACCAGTATGCCTGGAAAATACCTCTAGTGCATTT